CTCTCTCTCTCCGTCGCGGCTCTTCCTCCAGCGCCCACATCTCCTCGTCCCGACGAGATGCCCGTCCCGATCGCCTGGATTCCTTTTCTGGATACATTCCCCTCTCAAACAGGCTTTCTCGGAGTGCGCTGCCTCTATGGGAAAATGTTTCCCTCGTCCCTTTTGCATCAAAACGGGACCAGTCATACTTCTCTCCTTCATCTGGGCCCCACTTCCCTGGGGTAGGTGGCGGCCACTGAAGATAGTCCATTCGGGGAATCGCTCCCCCGCTCGCTCCTGTCAGTCCCGAGCTAGTCACCGGTGCTTCGGCAGCCGTGGTGACTAACGGAGCGGTCGACACCGGAGATGCCTCCGTAGTTGTTGGGTTCCCCTCAGTCCCACTCATGACGGCTGTCAGACTTGGGACGATAGAGAAAGGAGATTCCTAACAAAATGTTGGATCCCAAGCATAAAAAACAACTCCACGTTGCAAAGCAAGTAAGGTTTATTTCAAAGCGTTGGTTTAACCAGAACAGGACATTGTTAGGAATAACTACAGGTAATCAGGGAAGGCATAATAAAGACATTTGAACCAGGGAAGGACCAATGGGTCCAATTCCCGCTGGTGGGAATAGACCATACAGTTCGCGCCCAAAGCATGGGAACGCAACCGTTCTGAAATGTCAACACAGGTTCGGTTCACATGCAAGATACCCAAAACATTCTAGGCAAAGCTCACCCCCTACACCCAGCTGCACGACCTTGGCAAGTTCCGCTGACTACATAACATACTCAAGCAAACAAGGAATGAGAGGGAGGGGTGAAGGGAACTACACAGGAACCGGAATGACAATGGCAGCTAGCTGACACTTCCCCTTCTATTTTCCATGGAGTGATGGAGCCGGATGCCATGATCTTAGTTTTTTTGATGTTGAGCTTCAAGCCCACTTTTGCGCTCTCCTCTTTTACCCTGAGCAAGAGGCTCTTGAGGTCCTCTTCACTATTATTGAACTGTATCCATCAATAATAACAGTGTTCGAATTGACACCGGAGGGAGGTGTCTTCTACTGACAGTTGTAATTATATTATTGCACGGGGCATAGGGGAAGGAGGCAACCGCTTGGTTCCAGTGCTTTGAGAACATCTTGGACTGTGACTAGTACCTTGAACCAACCCCCTGAAGTAATAAGAGTTTGGGGGTACTTGCACAATGAATGACCCCCTAACTGTTAGCTGCATTTTGCTGTGGCTGAAGATTTCTATTTTGAAGCTCTTACACTTGCCAGAAAGGCCCAAAGGTTCTGCTTAACTGTGGAGGCTTCCGCTGGTGGAACACAACCTTTGGATCAAATCCAGGATAGTTTCCCTATACCAGTGTATGTGAACAATGGAAAAGTAAGTCTGTTTTTCCAAGTGTACTTCAATGTCCATAAATTTGGTTTCCAAAACAAGTTTGTTGCATGCATGCTTTTCATTTTTAGGTATATATACAAAGTTTTTTCGCTATGGACATTTCTTTGGAGACTTGGTCACAAGAATGGCTGTTGCTTTTTCCTGCATGGACAAGCGTCTGAATTAGTAGTACTAGTAAAATTTTATTGTGTAGCCATTGACCATTACAATTAAATGTCTGAAGTGGTAATTTCACTGGAAACCTTTTGGCAGTTGTAGTTTTCCCCATAGTAGTATATTCTGCAAAACCAATGCAATAATCATTGTGATGGTATACATTGTGAATTGTGAGATGTATGTATGTGTCTCCTACCCTTCTGTGTAAGGGAAATACTATGACGAGGGATTTTTTGATGCAATTTCAGACAGACCTTTTCATTCTGAAATGTTTTGCCAATTGTATTTTTCCCAGTGGCTGTACATTCTGCAAAATTGATCTGATGGTTTTCATGATGGTACATGTTGTGACTTGTGGGGCGTGTATATGTGTCTCCTACAGTTCTGTGCACTAGTATGAGGAAAATACCATGCGTGACAGATTTTTTTATGCCGCTTCAGATAGGCCTTTAAATTGTGAAGGCTACTGTGTCATCCGTGAATAGGCAATAAATCTGGCTTGATTAGTTTCCAGGTAGGTTCCAGGCTCCACCCAATGCTTCTGCTTTGCCTTCTCCACCCACAAAAGAGGAGACAGATGTGCAGTGTTTTATTAGTAAACATAACTAGGGCTGGGTGTATTTTGCACTTAAAATGTTTAAGGGTTGGATTCATCCAGTTTTTTCACTTAATCTTACCCAGTTCCCCTCCATATTACCGCCCCCTTTCCTACACGGATTTTGGCCATGCACTTTGCATGAACACCTGCATAGCTGTAAAGCAGGAGGAGGAGGAGGAGAAAGAAGAAGAAGGAAGAAGGAGGAGGGAGGAGGAGGAGGAGGAAGAAGAAGAGATATTGGATTTATACCCTGCCCTTCACTCAGAGTCTCAGAGCGGCTTATTTGGGTGTAAAGGCAGCACAGAAATGTTTTAAATAAAATACATAGATGTTAGAGTTGGATCCAGCTAGTTTCCCCCTCCCTTTTACCACCTTTTTGCTGTTTGGTGTAGTGTTTAGGAGCACGGACTCTAATCTGGGAGAACCAGGTTTGATTCCCCACTCCTCCACATGCAGCTAACTGGGTGACCTTGGGTCAGTCACAAGTTCTCTCAGAGCTGTTCCCTCAAGAGCATTTCTCAAAGAGCTCTCTCAGCCCCCCCTACCACACAGGGTGTCTGTTGTGGAGAGAGGAAGGGAAGGAGATTGTAAGCCTCTCTGAGACTCCGAGTGAAGGGCAGGGTATAAATCCAGTCTTCTCTTCTGTTTCTTCGTGTTTCCTGCAGGTTCCAGAATTGCAACAATACACACAAACCTGTGAATATTTCAGTCAGGGGACCTGATCTTGGGAGATTACCTGGTTGTGAAGCAGGTTCTCCTGTCAAGAGGACATCACGTAGTTTGTAGTCAGTTTTATGGTAACGGCTCTTCCGCCACAAGGGGTCCTTGCACTTCTTTTGAACCAGGCACAGAGGTCCAAAATGGTTTTGGTCTAGAAGGCAGCGTACTGGGATCAAGTCTCCTTCTGGGTCTAGTTGTTTAGCCAATGATTTAGTAGCCTTATGGAACATCCTTTCTAGGAACTTTGCAGCTTGGCCTTAAGAAAGAAGCAATAAGAAATAGAATTGTTACTTGCAACCTTTTGCACAATCTGTCACAGCATCATTTATTTATTTATATCTTGAATTTATTAATCGCCCAATCCCTGCTATTGCAGGGCTCTGGCCGATGTACAATATCCATAAAAACATAGCAAGATAAAAACTATTTTAAAACATTAATACATTAATCAATCCCATTGCAGACTGTCGGCTACTTCGCGGGCAGGAGGGAAGAGGGCAGCAATATAAACAGCAGAAGGAATGAAAAAGGAACTTTTTCAACTTTACTGTCTGTGCTCAGATCATGGAAGAAAGAGATTGTGGAAGAAAGACATTAATCAGCCCCAAACTCTGTTTTTCTTTTATTTTAGCCCTTCCTGCTGGTCCTTATATAAGAGACAACCCACGTTCTTTCTCATAGCCTACTCCGCGAGACAAGGGGAGTGGCACGATTCCTTGAACTCCAGTGGAGGGGCTGGCAGGAAAGTTGGGGGGTTAAACTATTCATATATAATAATTATAAATTCATATAGAATAATAAATAAATAGAATACATTCTTTTCTTTTTTAAAACAATGCCTTTACCAGCAATAATAGCTATTAGTTGTTGTAGATTCAATGGCTTCCCTGTGTAATCTGACATGGTAGCTGGAAGTGTTGTCCAGCCTTTCAGTGTCTTGGAACAAAATACAACATGCTACGATCAGCAAAAGACAGAAGAGACCCCCTCATTTCTGCAGGAGTATACCGCATACCCTGCAGTCCTGGACAGGTTTACATCAGGACCACACAGCGTAGCATTCAGTCAAGAATAAAAGAACATGAAAGACACTGCAGACTGGGCCAACCTGAAAAATCAGCAGTGGCTGAACATAGCCTAACTCAAACAGGACACAGTATCTTATTCCAAGACACTGAAATGCTGGACAACACATCCAATTACCATGTCAGATTACACAGGGAAGCCACTGAAATTCTAATTTATGCAGTAGCCAAATCGCTAGCTCATAACTTTAATGCCAGTAGCTCACAAAGCAGAATTTTTGTTCACGAGACTCCACAGCTTAGAGGGAGAACATAAGAGAAGCCAATGTTGGATCAGGCCAATGGCCCATCCAGTCCAACACTGTCACACAGTGGCCAAAAATACCAGGTGCCATCAGGAGGTCTAACAGTGGGGCCAGGAAACTAGGAGCCCTCCCACTGTTCCCCCCCCCCCAAGCACCAAGAATACAGAGCATCACTTGCCCCAGACCGAGAGTTCCTATCTATACCTTGTGGCTAATAGCCACTGATGGACCTCTGCTCCATATGTTGACCCAATTCCCTCTTGAAGTTGTCCATGCTTGTAGCTGCCACCACCTCCTGTGGCAGTGAATTCCATTGGTGCCAACCCCTCTGCTGGAGTTCAGGGTTGAGTGCTGCTCCCATTGAGGCCAGCCAGGATTTCTTTGGATTCTGGCATAGTCCCAGGCAGCAGGGGAGTCTGAAAGCAGCTATGAAGGCATTTTCCACTTGGCCGCAACTTTCCTTCAGTCAAAATATGTCTGCTGGGTCTCTTGAGACAGGGCTGATAGAGCCCAGTGTGTGAAGAGAGAGAGGCAGGCGACTGTAAAGGGTTGAAACATGGGTAGAGCTGGACAAGATATGCAAAGTCAGGCTGAACTGGAGATTCCCTCCTTGGCAAGGCAGCCAGCCAGAGAGAGACATGATGGGGAGAGACAGGTGGAGTGGTGACAACATGAGGGGCAATCGTGTAGCTAAGGAAGCCCATCAGAAGAGGTATCACTCTAATCTGAGCAAGGCCAATTTTTCCTTTACCATTTGCAAGCACTGGCAATAGTATATTGCCAGTTTGGTTAAGTGCGCGGACTCTAATCTGGGAGAACCGGGTTTGATTCCCCACTCCTCCACTTGCACCTGCTGGACGACCTTGGGCAAGCCGTAGTTCTGTCACAGCTGTTCTTGAAAAAGAGCCGTTTCTGTCAGACCTCTCTCAGCCCCACCTACCTCACAGGGTGTCTGTTATGGGGAGGGGAAGGGGGAGGAGTTTGTAAGCCGCTCTGAGACTCCTTTGGGTAGTGAAGGGCGGGGTATAAATCCAATCTCCTCTTCTCTTCTTTTCTTCTATACTGTTCTTTGAGCATCCTCTGGTGCTCAGTCTTCAGATTAGAAAGTGAGGCCACTGAATCAGGCCAGGATTTTGTGGCTTGTGGTGCAATTTTTTCTTCTGGTGGGGCTGCCATTATTTTTCAGATTAAAAAAAATGGTCTGTAAATAACTGTTTCCCTCTATTCTGCCAGCCTCCCTTCCCCTTCTCCATTCACACAATCCTCTTCTTCCTCCTTTTCCTCCTCCCCTCCCCACGCAAACTTGAGGCCGCTGCCGCACCACAGCACTTTCTTTCTGTGGGCGCCAGAGTGCGACTTTTAAAAAATATTTAAAAAATGATTTTAAAATCTTTTTTGAAGAAGTGGGGCTATCCCTTTGTTGTACGCACTTTTAATGAACCACTTTGTACTCTGCCACTGCCTAACAGGTTTGACTTGGTAGGTGTGCTTAGCACTTCCATAATACATATGATGGATGTATTCAGGTATTAACTTGTGACTGTTGTTTGCATGCATGCTGGGGAGAAGGCTGAAATGCTGATACACAGTTATGCTACCCATGACCTTGCTTGTTCTGGCCAGCTACAACTGCACATGTTTCTGATGTGAGTTAACCTAGCTAGAATGAAGAACAGTAAGCACTCTGTAACCATATCAGTTATATAGATACAACATTGCTGCTTCATAGCTTCCAAAAGAAAAGTGTATTGTTCTGTTAGGAAAAGAAGAACTCTGCCTGGGAACAACCCCCCCCCCCAGGTCACCCCCCCAGGTCTTAACCCAATGGGAAATAGGTGATGAAATTTGACAATGTTTGATGGAACCAATAATTCTGTTTTGTTTCTCTGATGTAATGTGAAGTATAAAATGCTATTTCACCCATTGTAACACTTGAAGAATCTATTGGGTATTCAAGGTTCCAAAACCCTTGAATCTGTATTCTTCCTTATTAATTAATAAATTATTTTTTTTGTTTCCAACTCTACAGGACTGCTTTTGCGTGTTTTCTCAAATTGGCCTGGGCAAACACAATCAGGGACAGAGGTTCTGTCTTACATCTTTAAGGGAGGGAGCAGAGCCCCCAACAGCCCCACCGTAGCTATGGGCCAGCACTGAATACGCCTAGAGCCATCACAACTAGGTGCCGGGACTTGATATTGATGTTAGCGACATAGCTAGGAATAGAATCTGTCTCTTACCCAAATAAGTTATGTTTCTAGCATCCTGGTGCAGAGATGGGAAGGCCTGAAAAAAAGAACACGGAATAATTGGGGGGGGGGTGAATGTCACCCCTATTTTCCTTGAAGTGACTTCTCCCCCAGAAAAATTGGGGGAAAGGATTATGGAATATTTTCTTTTGCAATGATAAATGACATGTTTATGACAAGGTGTTCACGTATCCTCCAATATTATTTCTAAAACTATGTGACATGAAGACTTTTATGTAAGACTATGTAAAGAAGGCCGAGCGCCGACGAATAGATTCTTTTGAACTATGGTGCTGGAGAAGACTCTTGAGAGTCCCCTGGACTGCAAGAAGATCAAATCAGTCAATCATAAAAGAAATCAACCCTGACTGTTCCCTGGAAGGCCAGATAATGAAACTGAAGCTCAAATACTTTGGCCACCCAATGAGAAGGGAGCACTCACTCTGATGCTGGGAAAGATTGAAGGTCAAAGAAGACGGGGACAGCAAAGGATGAGATGGTTAGACAGTGTCATAGATGCAACGAACATGAAGTTGAGCCAACTTCAGAGGACGGCGGAAGACAGGAAGGCCTGGCCTGATCTGGTCCATGGGGTCGCGAAGAGTCGGACTCGACTGTGTAACTGAACAACAAAAAATTTAAAGTGTCAAATCATTGCAATTCCTGTACACTGAGGATAAGCAAATGGTGGAATACAGTTCAGATACTGAGGATACAATTCTCAAATGCAAGAGAAAAGTGCATTTCTGTCTCTAGGGGGGACTGCAGTTGTCACAAGAGAAGGAACAAGATTTTAGTTTCCTTCTTGCTTGTGGATCTACTAGCAATTTCTTGCTTTCATAAGAACATAAGAGACGCCAATGTTGGATCAGGCCAAAGGCCCATCCAGTCCAACACTCTGTGTCACACAGTGGCCAGAAATACCAGTGCCATCAGGAGGTCCAGCAGTGGGGCCAGGACATTAGAAGCCCTCCCACTGTTGACCCCCCCCCCAAGCACCAAGAAGACAGAGCATCACTTGCCCCAGAGCCCCTAGCTATACCTTGTGGCTAATAGCCACTGATGGACCTCTGCTCCATATGCTTATCTAATTCCCTTTTGAAGCCGTCCATGCTTGTAGCACCCACCACTTCCTGTGGCAGTGAATTCCATGTGTTAATCACTCTTTGGGTGAAGAAGTACTTCCTTTTATCCGTTCTAACCCGACCGCTCTGCAGTTTCATGGAGTGCCCACGAGTTCTTGTATTGTGAGAAAGGGAGAAAAGTACCTCTTTCTTTACCTGCTCTTTCCCATGCATAATCTTATAAACCTCGATCATGTCACCCCTCAGTCGTCTTTTCTCCAAGCTAAAGAGCCCTAAGCGCTTTAACCTTTCCTCATAGGGAAAGTGTTCCAACCCTTTTATCATTCGAGTTGCCCTTTTCTGCACTTTTTCCAAAGCTATAATATCCTTTTTAAGGTGTGGTGCCCAGAACTGCACACAGTATTCCAAATGAGGTCTCACCATTGATTTATATAGGGGCATTATTATATTGGCTGATCTGTTTTCAATACCCTTCCTAATAATCCCCAGCATAGCATTGGCCTTCTTTATTGCAGTCACACACTGTCTCGACATTTTCAGTGAGTTATCCACTACAACTCCAAGATCTCTCTCTTGCTCAGTCTCTGCCAGTTCAGACCCCATCAATGTGTATTTATATTTAGGATTTTTGGCTCCAATGTGCATCACCTTGCACTTGGCCACATTGAACCCCATTTGCCATGTTGACGCCCACTCGCCCATCCTTGACAGATCCCCTTGGAGTGCCTCACAATCCTCACTGGTTTTCACCACCCTGAACAACTTTGTATCATCCGCAAATTTAGCCACTTCACTGCTTACTCCCATCTCCAAATCATTAATGAACAAGTTAAAAAGCAGTGGACCAAGTACTGATCCCTGCGGTACCCCACTGCTTACCACCCTCCACTGAGAAAATTGCCCACCTACACTCACTCTCTGTTTTCTATGAACTAGCCAGTTTTTGATCCATAAAAGGACTTGTCCTTCTATCCCATGATTTTTGAGCTTACTTAGGAGCCTTTGATGAGGAACTTTATCAAAAGCTTTCTGGAAGTCAAGGTAAATAATATCTATTGGATCCCCCTTGTCCACATGTTTGTTCACCCCCTCAAAGAACACTAACAGGTTAGTGAGACAAGATCTTCCCTTACAGAAACCGTGCTGAGTCTGCCTCAATAGGTTTTGTTCATCTATGTGCCTACTAATTCTTTCCTTAATAATGGTTTCCACCAATTTACCCGGTATCGACGTCAGACTGACTGGCCTGTAATTTCCCGGATCTCCTCTGGAACCCTTTTTAAAGATGGGAGTGACATTAGCTACCTTCCAATCCTCAGGAATGGAGGCAGATTTTAAGGAAAGATTACATATCTTTGTCAGGAGATCTACAAGTTCACATTTGAGTTCTTTCAGAACTCTCGGATGTATGCCATCTGGGCCTGGTGATTTTTCAGTTTTTAAGTTGTCTATCAGTTTTAGGACCTCCTCTCTCGTCACCTCAATCTGACTCAGGTCTTTCAACACCCCTCCTGAAATCAGTGGTTCTGGAGTGGGCAAGCACTTCTCATCTTCCACAGTGAAGACGGAGGCAAAAAATGCATTTAGCTTCTCAGCCATTTCCCTATCATCCTTCAATACTCCTTTTACCCCTTGGTCGTCCAAGGGCCCCACTGCCTCCCTGGCTGGTTTCCTGTTTCTAATGTATTTGAAGAAAGTTTTATTGTTGGTTTTTACGTTTTTTGCTATATGCTCCTCATATTCCCTTTTTGCCTGCCTGACCTCAGACTTGCATTTTATTTGCCATAGCCTGTGTTCCGTTTTATCAGCCTCACTGTGACTAGCTTTCCACTGCTTAAAGGAATTCTTTTTACTTTTTACAGCCTCCATTACTCTGTTTGTTAACCATGCAGGCTTTTTCCTATACCTGTTTGTGCCTTTCCTAACCTGCGGAATATATATTTTTTGAGCTTCTAGGATCGTAGTTTTAAATAGATCCCAAGCTTCCCCAATTGTTTTGACCCTTTCTACTTTTCCTTTCAGTTTCCTCCCCACGTGTCCCCTCATATCAGAGAAATTACCCCTTTTAAAGTTAAAAATGGTTGTGTGAGTCTTTTTGGCCAATTCTCTATTTGTACAAATGATGAACTCAACAACATTATGATCACTGTTTCCAAGCGGTGCAATCACTTTTACATCTCTCACCAGGTCTTGAGTGTTACTTAGGACCAAATCAAGGATCGCCTCTCCCCTGGTAGGTTCCGTGACCATCTGCTCCATAGCACAGTCATTTAGAGTGTCTAGAAACTCAATCTCTTTTTCCCGGCTAGAACACATATTGACCCAATCAATGTGTGGGTAGTTAAAATCACCTATTATTACACAGTGTTTTTGTCTAGTTGCTATCTTTAAGGCATTCATCATTTTATAATCCTCCTCTATCTTTTGATCTGGTGGGCGATAACAAACTCCCAGTGTTAAGTTTCCTTTTGGCCCCCCTATTTCAACCCATAGAACTTCCAGAAGCGAATCCAATTCACTTAGCCTCTCAATCTTTCTAGACTTTATACCCTCTCTGACATACAGAGCTACCCCACCTCCAACCCTTCCCCCCCTATCCTTCCGATATAATATATAACCGGGAATCACTGTGTCCCACTGATTTTCCTCATCCCACCAAGTTTCAGAAATACCCACAATGTCTATTTTTCCCTCCGACACCAAGCACTCCAACTCCCCGATTTTACCTCGGACACTTCTAGCATTTGTATAGAAACAGCTGTAATTTCCCTTACAAGTTAAGCCTGCATCCTTCCTCTTGCTATCTCGAGTCGTTGTCCGGCAGTCCATGTCACCAGCCATGGCCTCTGTGGACAATTTCAATCCACCTCCCTGTAGAAAAGCAACCGGTACCCCCTCACCTCTCTCAGATGAGCCAACCCGAACCAGAGACTTTTCATCTCCTGTCGGCTTTCCCCCAATATTCAGTTTAAAAGCTGCTCTGCCACCTTTTTGATTTTAAGTGCCAGCAGCCTGGTTCCTTCTCGGGACAAGTGGAGACCGTCTCGCCTGTACAGCTCCCTCTTGTTCCAAACAGTATCCCAGTGCCTAACAATGAACCCTTCCCCTCTACACCATCGTCTCATCCACGCATTGAGACTCCTGATCTCTGCCTGTCTCTCCGGCCCTGCGCGTGGAACAGGTAGCACTTCTGAGAAGGCTACCTTGGAGGTCCTGGACCTAAGTTTCCTGCCCAGCATCTTAAATTTCTCCTCCAGGACCTCACGACTGCATTTCCCCACATCGTTGGTGCCGACATGCACCACGACCACTGGCTCCTCCCCAGCACTATCTACCAGCCTTGTTGTTGGAGGATCTGATTCTGTCCTCTCAGCTAGGCCTCAAAAGACAGCTAGAAATTACTGTTTGTACTATGTTTGTACTATGGAGGAGTAGGAGGATTAGAGGAGATAAAATAATTTTCTTAGTTTTGTTACACTGATGGTTTCTTTGGTGTTTATTTGGGGGGGGGGGGTTGCCTGCATTCATAAACTGGCCAAAGAGGTTCCTTATCGTTCAGGCGATCTTTACATTTCAGGACCTTGTAGTTCTGTTTGTAAATAAAAAAGTAAATCCGATTTGTTATCATTTTCTGAATAAACTGCACTTTTAATATATCAAACATGATACCTTTATGCCAATTTATGCCCACTGCATTTTATGTTCCCAAAATGACTTTCAGTCTGTAAAGAGTACTAATATTGCATTTAAAAAAAAAAAATCTGAAAATTTTGTGTTTTTTTCGGGGGGGGAAAGGGCGGGGATTTCCCCCCATGACTTCAAAATTTCCAAAATTTTTACATCTCTGGAGATAAGTAACACTTTGTCATCTGTGAGCTGAAGGGTGGAACAAAATCTCTCATGTCTTTCCATGACCTTTCTGAGGGACTGGTTTTAGCAGTTTAGG